AGAGCCTTCAACAAGCTAACCATCCAAAATTACTATCCGATCCCCAACATTTTCGAGCTGCTCGACCAACTAGGTGAGGCCAAGGTCTTCTTCAAGCTAAACCTACAGTTCAGGTACTACCAGGTGAAGATAGTAGAGGGTGACCAAGAAAAGACTGCCTGCGTGATGCGTTATGGCAGCTTCAAATTCCTAGTGATGCCCTTTGACCTAACAAATGCCCTTGCAACGTTCTGCACCCTGATGAACAAGGTACTATCTTCGTTCCTTGATAAGTTTGTGGTGGTCTATCTTGATGATATTGGCATTTATAGCAATACCATGGCAGAGCACATAGAGCATCAACAAGTAGTGTTTAAGCGCCTATGGTAGGACCAACTCTAGGTGAAGCGGGAGAAGTGCTCCTTTGCCTAAGCAGAGATTCCATTCCTAGGTCACATCATTAGGGGAGGCCAGATTCGGATGGATGGGAGCAGCCCGCTAAGGTGACTGAGCTGAGGAGTTTCTTGGAGCTTGCAAACTACTACCGCAAGTTCGTGCGTAGCTACTCTAACATCGCGGCACCCTTGACTGACTTGCTGAGCAAATACCGTGCATGGTGATGGAGTCCAGACTGTGAGCGAACGTTTTAACAGCTAAAATAAGCTATGACCAAAGAGCCTGTGCTGTGACTGCATGACTCGAGTGTGTTGTATAAGGTACACATTAATGCCTTGGACTACGACGTAGGAGGGGTCTTGATGCAGTAAGGCCACCTAGTGGCATACACGAGCCGAAAGCTCGACGACACCGAGCGGTGCTACACGGCCCAAGAAAAAGAGATGACGATAGTAGTGCATTGCTTGAGAGTGTGGCGGCACTACCTATTGGGGGCACGGTTTGTGGTGAAGACCGATAACGTGGCGAATAGCTTCTTCCAGACTCAAAAAAAAAAGCTCACTCTTAAGTAGGCTAGATGGCAAGTCTACTTGGTCGAGTTCGACTTGACAATGGAGTATAAGCCGGACACTGTCAACCAAGTTGCAGATGCACTGAACCGCAAGGCAGAATTGGCAGCCATCAGCCAAACGTAGAATGAGATGCTGGCCAAGATCCGAGAAGGGTTTGCGGGAGATGCCACTGCCCAAGCCATCTTCGAGAGTTGAGCTTGGATCCTTCTTCTCCTAAATTAAAAAAAAAAATTAATACACTTTCCTTTTTAGTTTTGGAAAGAAAGAGAAAAATAACGTAGCTGTTCTTCTCATCAAATTAATTTATTATTAATTTTAGAATATAAAACTGAAACTAAAATAGAAAATAGAAAATAGAAAACGAAAGCTGGGAAACGACACTTCAGGAATTAATTATATATCACTTTCTTTTCTTCAACCACCATCTGCTTGTACAATCACCAGTTCATGTCTCACTCAGTTGTCTTTTCTTCCATCCAACATACTATTAAAAGCAAATATGTTGGTTTCTATAAAGTAATTTCAACAATTACAATTTGGGGATTTTCATTAATATCTGATGTGTAGTTTTAAGGTTTAGGTTTTTTTATTTAACAAGGTTTACTTGCTTTTCTTATATATTAGGGAAAAAAACGTTCATAATATTCCCCCAAGCTTTCCCAAAACCCTGCTTTTATCGATATTATTTTCGTACCTTTTTTCATACTAATCTTTACTCGGCTCCTCTATTTTTTTAAAAAAAAGTTTCAAATTTATCTCAACAAGTTTAGATATATTTGATTTTAGAAATAATTATATTTTGAAAAGCTTTTTTTCTTTTTTGGTGACAACGTGTGACACCAAACAAACGTGCCCTCAACCTAATAGTTTGGGATGTAGGTTGTGTTCAAAAACTGGATGATTCGTGAGATTCTACAATTCAAATCAAGTATTGTAATTTTAGAAATAAGTTTACTTAAATTCTTATACATATACTCAATTCCTAAATTTATCATCTTTCTTAAAATAGTTTCATTGCATGACATAATAACTAGTTTTCAACTTATGCGATACACGATAAATACAAACATATTCTAATATTTAATGTACATAAGATTATAATTGCATTGTGAGTGAATGAATGTGTACGAAATATAGGTAGATAAAATTTTAACTTTTTAAACAATTTTGGAAGCCAAAAAAATTAATTCTGTCATTTTCAGTAGAAAAAAAATGAAATAATAGAACCCATGTTAGTTAAGGAAAGAAAATGGCATAGACGAGATGTTTGCCGAATTCTACTTTAATTGCCCATCCTATCATGCTACCCAATGAGTCAATTGCAATAATAATTCCCCTTAGTGATGTATGATCGGTCCCCTCCCATGTGTAGCTGTGGGCGTGCACTGCAAACCCAATTAATTGCTCACTCACTCTTGCTGTCCTGGACAAACTTTCCCAAGTCCAAACCAAGGCATTTTGTTCTATTTATTCATTTTTCATATCCCAAACAAACTTATTAAAGTTGATGTGTTAAGCATATATATATCAGCCCTTAAATGTAACCCTAACTGCAACATTTATGATAAACAAAAAAAAGTATTGGCTCTTCGTCACAACATTTATGAAATGAGAAAGAGATACTCATCAGAGCAAAGCAACTTATCTGCCTTCGGATTTTCATTTTTTTTCCTTCAAATCTTATTAAAATCTTCGGTCTTCATGCTTTTGTTGCTTCCCTCAAACACACGTTTATTTGGTGCATATATTAAGGGAGGAGGCTTGACATGAGCATATATGCCCACAAACTAACTCATCTTCACATTGGGTTTATCATCTCTCTCTCTCTCTCTAGAAGAAACGCCATGTATTATCTATCCCTGGTGGCCTATCACATATTCTTCAATTCAACTAAATATCTGTATCTTCTTCTTCTGCTGGGCTATGCTTTGCTTTACATCTTCATGTTTCCTAAAGAGATGGGAAATATGCAAGAATGGGCAGCTCTGGGTTCAGGTAATGATGGAAACAAGACTTTCGGGCAATTACACTACTCCCCAGAAACCTCAACTTGCCTTGATTCAAACCAATCCTATTACAAGGTCTCGACGGTTTCCACCCTTTATCAGTACTTGAGCTAAGGCTTCACTTGTTTTTACTATCATTTCCGTTCCTGTTTCTGTATGCTGTGATCACATCATCTTAGATGTGCATGTAGTGATTATTTATAACCTTTTGGTGAGTTTATTTTATTTTTCTTTCCCAAACTTTCTTTGTAACGTGTGATTATATTCCTTCCCTTTTCTCTTTTATTTGCATTTAACAAAACTTTTTCCAGATATTTATATCATTCATGTAAATATGTTTGTGTTTTTCCATTTTTTTTATATAATATAAAAAAAAATAATATAACTTGAACTTAAGATCTTTACACTTCTCTCGCCCTTGTCAATGCAGCTTAGTAAGTGGCTATGTTACTAGAAATTATTTATTACTTTTTGTGATAAAAGCCTATTTTCACTTTATTGCTTATGATTTGAAGTATAAACTTGGAAATAAATTAAGATAATATGACTTTTTTAAAAAATTTTGAGAAGAGGATATGAATTTAATTCTTTGAATCAAGAAATACGTACACTTGCTATTGAAAAAGTTTGAAAAGTGTCCAAGTGTGAACTCAATTATTTGTAAATGTCATTTTAATATATGAAAAGAAACTAATTAAATATCCAAATTCCACTACCATTAAGCGATGAAAACCAAAACAAAAAAGAAAAAGAAAAAATGTAATTTCTTTGCATTTATGATTCTTTAGAGACTGCAACTAAATAAAAGAAAACCCCATGAAACTGAAGTTGAAGAGCCAGGGGGTTGGCAAGCAGCCTTAATGGCCAGCAAATTGGTCTTTCTTTGGGTGAAAACCATGGGTAGGAAATCGCAATCTCAGCGCCCAACCTGTCATCCGGTTTCCTTCAACATTTATTGAAACTGGGCAACCGAATTTCCACCTTTCTGACACTCTTCTTATTATGTCCAGACAAAGCATTGTCTTCCCAACTTTATGATGGAATTGCCATGATAAAACTCTATTGAATTATGCATACTTGGTGACATGTGATTGCCTGGTGGCCAGTAGACCACGTACGGCTTTACTTCACTAAATTACTATAATCTCTGTCAAGGCATTATGCTGCCTAGAATACTACATATTATGACAAAAACTATTCAGATCTATCTATGTACATATATCACGTCTATAACAGACATCTCAGCTGCTAGAATTTGAGGTTCAATTTTTAAGATGAGGTGGACGAGAGATTTATAAGATAAGAAAAAACTGTCACTTACTGATATTAAATTTGGTTTTGAGTAAAAAAATTAATATAAAAAAGAATTGTAAACAATTCAAAATATTTTCATATAACTCTTATGGGGGAGAGGGGATTCGAACTTTACTTTTTAAACAAGAAAATCATGTATCAATCAATGAATCAAATGCTCGAGTACTAACTCTTGTGATTAATAATTAATTAATTATTATTAATTAAAATATTATTTTTTATTTTATGTCACGTAATGTTAACGCGTCATGTAAATATAAAATGATAAATGATATTTTAACTAATAATAAGTACTCAACTATTAATTTTTATTAATTTAATATAAAAATATAAAAAATTTAATTAAAAATTTTTTTAAATCATTATATTTTAAAAAGAATTCCAACCTTTAAATTCGGCTTGAGTAGACAATTCAATAACGAACAAGCATAAAAGGAATCAGATGGTATCTAATTAAAGTCAGGTTCCCTTTGTAGGCCCCACGATAAGGAAAAAAGCCTTCGTTTTGGAGGACAATTCTGTAATTTCAACGCCACAAGTTGGAACCTGTCATTCACGAAAAAGACGTTATGAAAGCTTGCACGCTCCAAGTTCCAATCACCGCCCGAGGACATTCCTGGAAAAAAAAATAAAAACATTTAAATGCCCAATTCGACCGTTGCGAAGATTTATATTAAAGAAACCCCTGTTTACCGTTGGAGAAAACAAAAAAACCCTAACCCCCCTCCCTCCCTCCCTCCCTCCCTACTGTTTCTCCCTTCAAAAATCTCTTTCTGCCTCATTTTTCTTCGTTGCCACTCAGCTCAACTCAACTCTCTGTCTTTGTCTTGTATATATCCATGGCGGATCAAAGCTCAAACCCATCAATTATGGAGCCTAAACAACCACACCCACTTCACCAAATAGCAGAAACACCAACCCACAGGTTGCTTTTGAAACAGTGGGTGAAAGAAACAGAGCTCATTCTCAACAGAATTTCCCTCAAGGAGACTCAAATCGATGCCGTCCGTAAAGAAATCACTCAGCTTTACATCTTCTTCTTCCTCTTTCATTCCATCTCTCTCCTCCTGCTCTTCAACTCTTCTTCCAAGGACCCTCCCACCGGTGCCTGCCATAGGTCTTGGATCCCATCTTTGTGTTCTTTGCTATGTTCTATGGCGATTACCTGGGCGGTTAGGTATAAAACTGATGTGGAAGGGCACTTGGAGAAGCTGTTGGAGAGGGAAAAAGAGGATGGGAAGTTGTTGGCCAAGTGTGTGGAGGAGCTCAAGAAGAAAGGCGTGGAGTTTGATCTGTTGAAAGAGGTTGATGCCCTTAGGAGAGCCAAGAGTTTGAGGGTGGAGGCTAAAGCTGTGAGGAAATGGTCTGCTAGGGACTTTGTTACATTGTTTTTCTTCACTGTTTCATGTATGGTTCTTGGGTTAACAAGGATTATCCTGTGCAGTTAATTAGAGTTGTGGGGATCATGTAGGAATTTGGGCATATTGGGGTATTGATTCTTTTGTGGGTTTTTTCTTTTTAATATATTTGGCAGAAGATTAATCTTGGATTCTGTCACATAGAATGGCTGGGGAATTCCTTTTCTTGAGTTGGAAGTATTTGCAGAATATTCTGTTCTGCTTTTGTAATTTGGAGCACTTTATTATATCCACAGACTATGAAATAAGAATGATGGTTTTTCAGAATTATTTGTTTTCCCACTTCCCATAATTTGGTGGCAATCATAATTAATCTAATTGTAGGATGATGCCCCCATATAAACTCAAACTTCCAATAAAATCCACTACTGCACCTAAACTTCCAGGGCACCAAAACACCTTTATTCAACTTCAGTAAACAAAAAAATAAAAATACTTGCCAATTTTGTCAAAATTATTCTGTTTGCTGGGGGTTAGGAATATATCCTTAAACCATGACACCATATATTCATCATTTGTACAAGTTATCCAAATAATCATACTACATAATAAAAATATTCCACAAATAATTAATCATCTTAAAAATATTTATCCCAAATAATGAAAACTATTAAGAAATTATAATTAATCATCCTACTCGTAATAAACTCTAGAACTAAAAGACAAAAAATTAAGAATAAGATTCGAGTTTTGAGATAAAAGAGTATAATGAGATGAATGATAAGTATGTATCTCATCCTATCTCATATATTAAATGGGAGATGGAAATTTAATTTGAAATTGTAAAATTCTTTTAATGATAAGTGTGCAGAATTCTACTTTGGAAAAGCATAAATGAATTAAAAATAAGAAAAATGGCACTCGCAATATCAAAATACTAGTACAGAACTGTCATTAATCACCAATGTAGAACAGTTTACAAGTTTCAGAAATTCCATTTCCATGCTTCTTGGCTAAATGGCTCCTGCATTGTTCTTTAATGTGTTTACAGATGATGGTTCTCCCATGGCTTCACCTTAGTGCTTTACAAACAATAAACTCATTTCATCAATCAGGGGAAACAACCAATAGCATCAACACAATTTACTCCAGAAAACATCCAAAAAGATTTCCCATGCCTCACCTGTAAGCCCCAAACCCCTTCCAATATTTTTTCACAAACTTATTATGTTCAGGATTACTCTGTAGACTAATTACAATAATCCCTATCGCGTTGAAGCACTGTAAAAGCTATATCTCATAACAAACAACAAACTTAGAGTTCTGACCAAATTTGATATATCCAAATATAGCTTTGGAGGACATGAACAAAACGCAGCTTTTTTTTGACTAATAAGCAATGTAATTTTCTTCTATTTTGGCAATAGATGTAACATGGTTCCACCAAAACCATGGATATTAGTTTACAACAGAAGACAGTTGACAGGTTATTTGCAAGTGCTATGACATTGATAATTTAAATCTTAACAATTTTGTCATTGGACATCGAAAAAAGGTAGCAGTTCTTTTTTCCCGTGTTCAATTCTCTGCATGCTTAAGAATGTGGAAGCCATAAACTTTTGAAACTCACAAGGCTGAATACTCAACTTTTTGAGAGCAAGGACCATGTGCAATGAATGTGATCTCATCTGAGAAGGAACCTGGATTAAAGCAAGTAATTCTAGCACATCTGAATGCCTTCTGCTCACTTCTACCATCCAAAATGATTGGATGTAACAGATGCCTCCCTCACAGCAGCAACTGAACAGGAACTCAGGCAACCGGTACTCAGACCAAATCAGACGAGAATGATCATAAGGGAAAAGACTGACATCATACCTCAAGTTTCCATATTGGAAGCAGAAACAAACATAAAACCAATCCGCATAACAGTTATACCCAGCTACATATATGTTTGATTCACTTCACAATAAGGGAATCTCCAATAATATGCAAAATTATTTAAAAGAAAACATCAGGGAAATAGATAACTGTAACAAAATAACTAGGGTTATCTACTTGTTGATTGTCATTGGTTCTTTAACCAAAACAAACACAGAAGTAATTTCATAATTTTACCCACTGCACTACAGTGCCAATAAACCCCAAAAAATCCCTATTAATTCAAGTTAGTATAACTTGTTTCTATAAGATCTATCAGTGCTTTTCCACCAAAAGAGAAAGTCCCAAAACAGAAACAGAACATGAAAGTAAGCCAGACACAGTCTTTTGTATAAATAAGAATAGAATATGTAAAGCAAACCAAACAATAGAGATATGAAATCTTACTGATTGTGTTGAAGAAGCAGAGCAAATGCAAGCCCAGGACAGATTGAAGGTGAGAAAGGGAGAGAAGCGTACAGCCGAGACCCAAATCAAAGGAGAGAGAGCAATGGAACCCTCCGAAATCGAAGGAGAGAGAGAGATGGAAAGAAGAAAATGCCTCAAAAAAATAAGCAAGGTGAGAAAAAACCAAGCTGAAACAAGAAAGGAAATGCCTTATGCCCTCCAAGGGCGTAACTGAAAATATTTTACATGAGGAAGGTATTTCCTCCCTACCAAACAGCTAAAACTCATGAAAATTTCTTCTGGAAAAAAATTTCCTCCATTCCAAATGGAGCCACAGCAACATTCAACAAGAAAAATCATGAACTGTAAGCAATAAAAGGGTTACCACTCTTTCAATTTCTTGAGGTGAGTTTATCAATTGTCTCTAGCAGCAGATTATGGACCACCCTCTCATCTCTGTTCAAGCTAGTATCTGTGCTATTTATGAGCAAGAATCTGAATGTCACAAAATGTTGAATGCCTTATGATCAACTAGAGTCATCCTTAAAGAACACGTCACTTTGACTACTTTCACTCTCAAAATCATCAAATGCTTGCTCGAAATGATTGATTTCACCTGGACTTTCCAGGTCTTTTCCATCATTACTATCTAAAATTGGGAGAACCCAGTCCCCATCTCTTCTGCCTCCCCCACTTGTTTTGAAAACTAAACCATTTCTTTCCTCCTTGATTTCTTCTGGGTATTGCAATGATCTAGTATTTCGACACCCTAGCAAGATAAGGTCCAACATTTTCCTTCGAACAACATAAATTGGATTTGGTACTACCAGACACCCTTTGCAATAGGCTTCTCTAAGGAGAACAGTTTGAGCACTTCCCTTGGTGGATATATAAAAAATGCCAGGGTGTTTCAAAAGCAGTTCACGCACATTAACTTCTATAGCAAAGTCCTTCCTAAAATGAGCCAACCTTTCTACCTCAACCATCTTCTCTACTGTCAAGCTCAATAACTCATGAATAATCCCGATGGCCCGCTTCTCATACCGCTTAATACCTCCACAAGAACGCACTCTAACAGCCTCTTTCTTCTCGTAAGGCTTCAAATATGGAAGCCTCTGCCAGTTCTTCAATCTCTCCCTGTATCCTCCCTCGATCTTAAACCCAGTAGGGAAGTTAATGGGAAACGTATAACTTGTCTCAAACTCACTCAACCACTTATCTTTGTACTCCTTTTCTCTCCATTTTTCTACTTCAGCCACTGCCAAATTCTCATCTCTGTCAACCAATTCAACAATTTCCAAATCAATTAACCTAAAGTCCTTTGAGTATTTTCTTAAAATAGAATCTCTAAAGTCCTTAGGCAAGCCTAGTTCTCTCCTAATCAGCCTCAAAGCATGAACATGAAGTGTCCCATTTTTTGACATCATCAGCAACTTTTTTATTCTCTGCACCAATTCTGATTCACAATCTTTCACAACGTTTTTTTCCTCATCAATCAAATCCTTCACTCTTTGAGTTATTCTGCAGCACAAGTTCCTCCTAAGCGGATGCATAAATACCTCAAACACATGTGGGTATTTGTGAACAGATGCACCCATGCCCACATTCAGACCCACAATATTTGTCCACCGTGACATCAGCTGTACAGAGACAAAGGGACCACGCTTTCGCTGCGACATAAGGTGGTGAATATTGAGGATGGTTTTGACTTTGTGGATGTGTGCCATGAGCTTGTCCACTTTTAAATCCCTTGTTCTGGTTTCTAATCGAGTCTGAGCAGAATCAACTTGTTTTTTCCATCTCATTTGTAAAAATGAGTTGAATGGGCCAATTGATATTCTGTTATGCCTTAAGCTTTTCGCAAAAATCATGTTTTGTCACCCACGATGCTTCTCCACTAAGATTAAACGTTTCTTCCAGGCTAATAATGCATTCCTAATTTGCATAATACAATATGAATACAGTCAACAAACCAATTGACACCTGTCCCTAGAAAAAGAAACTTTAGAATTCAACCAAAACTAAACTAAATTCCATAAACAATTATTTTAAAATAGCATCAGCTCCAACTCAAAATTAAGAATATCACCAAAGTTTTTCTTCATTTTAATCTATATATTACTCTGAACCCACTACTAGTCCAAAATTGACAGTTTAAGCTCTAAATCCAAAATCCCAATTTTATGTTTGAGGAAGGTTTTAGGCATGCACAAACCCATCCTTCAGTTAAGCAAGTTATTTGTCATCCCAATCATTTGAACTTAAATTGTTCGAGATCCCAATCACAATGGTGCCAAAGAATACAGTACATAACAACAAATTTAAGCAGAAAAAACAGTTTGCTTTGCTATTGTTTTATCAATGAAATTCATTAAGTGCAAAGTAACTGGCAATCAAATATAACGGATATTCCAATTAACAAAAACAAACAGAAATGAATATTAAAGAATAATTGAATCCTTTAACTAAACCCAACAACCCTTCATTTTTCCCAATAGCAGTAACTTAAAGCAAATAGCAGATAAATCAAAACAATAAGATACAAATGATAAAGCAAATAACAAGTAAGTTTCTCCAGTAAAAACTTTCCCCAGTTTCAAACTCTGGGTATAAGCTACTTATTCCAACAATTCGTAAGAAGTCATCCGTATTTGGAATTGGATGTGGGTTATGCTGCCGAGCTGCTCCATTTTCATCGTTGGGAAAAGATTGAGACTTATTTAGAAAAAGAAAACAGAAATTGGGGGAATGAATATTAAGGGTAATGGGAAAGATAACTCGACCATAAATTTGAACGATTCAAGACAATGAACATTACACTATCCAAACCTTAAAAAATAAAATTAAAGTATAATTGGATATAAAAATAAATTACAGTTTTAAAAATTAAAAATTAAAGATTACAATCATACTTTTCTTCGAGAATAAAATTCATTATCTTGATTGGTGTTACGTTTAGTCATCTCTTGGTTTCTAATCGATTATGATGTTACTTTTAATCATTACTTTTATTTTCGAACAACCTTTAAGCTGTGTACACCACGTTATTTGAAAAACGTTTTAGCCAAAAAAAAAAACCATAAAACAATTAATATGTAATAGAAATTAGAAAGAAAATGAAAAGGGAAATTGGAGAACCTGATGGCTGAGGCGGTTGCTGTGGTGGTGGTTCAAAGGTAGAAGGTGGGAGTTGCAGTCCATCAACCGGTGGAGGAGGAGGAAGAGCCTCAGCCTCGGTATCCCCACCTGGCGGAGAAAAAAAGGCGGAGGAGGCGGCGAATGGGAGGAAAGCGAGGGATTGGTTTCCGTACGACAACAATTATAGCGTTGGACCTTTTTTTTAATTGGTAAAATAATGAAAAATAGATTTTCTATTTTAGAATAATGTTTTAATTTACATATTAATTTCACCTATAGTAACTACCAAGGACCCCTCTTTTTTTTTTTTACGTTATGTTTAATTCATTGAAAATTTGAAGGAAAAGAAAATTACAATAAAGAAAATAAAATTTGTCACTTGGTTTGATATGTGAGGAAAATTTCATTACCCAATAAAATGTTGAAAATGAATTGCTACAAGAAAAAATCATTTATAAAAAAAATTGAGCTTGAAAATCAATTTTCGGTAGTTTAAGATTTATTTTAACGTTATTAAGATAAAATGAAAAATAAAAACTCTGACCCCACAACAAATAAAAAGATGTGCATGCTTTCCTTTGTTTTTCCTCGTCATCTTATAAGAAAATCAAAGGAAAAGGTCTATTATAAATTTCTCTTTTATTTTCTTAAGTATAAGAAAATAATTTTTAAGAGTTTTATTTTCTTTTCTCCCAAAATTTTCTTGAGCAAAGAAAACCCTAAAGTTTTTTTTATTTTAAAATTAGAAGACAGTGATCTTGCTTTATTTACTTATTTACATGAACATGTGAAATTTTTTTTCAGCACGTTTGGGGACAAGTCAAAACCAACTCAGTTGTTCATAGGAAAAATTAACACGTTTGTTTCAATTATTCATAAGAATAAGGGATTAAATTTTATGTACAATTAATTTATACTGATATAAGATATAGTAGAAATTTAGAATATGTAATTGTATCTTATTCTTGCTACATGATTTGATAATGGAAACAATACTAATCAAATTAACTATTAAAATTCAATGTATTAGTTTTACATCTCACTTTTGGAGACATGACTGATGCAAGGACCTACTTGGGTATGACTCATTAGATTCAAGCAAGCCTTTTACTCATTGAACATATACTATACAATCATATCGTGCCTTCACATAGTTATATTATAAATTACCCATGCCTTCTTCTGTGCCATCACAATACTATAGAATTCTATATCGTAACATGTGGAAACGCTATCAAACTTTTATATCAATATCTACATAGCTTAACTCATGAAATATCTTGCAATAACATGCATATGAACTTTATGGTGCTTAATTAGGCTCTTGAGCCATCATAACATCTCATTAATTATCTCTATATCTGAGTTATTAAGTCAAACTCTTTAGAACATTCCAAACATAAAGATAATTTATGAATCTTGCCACTTGTCCTAAGTTCCTTTCACTTTCCCTATCAAATAGTTGCTCCACACTTGTTCCTATTTTGTAACACAAAACTTTAAGAAATAATAATGAGGCAAAATTAGGCATCTACAGTCCACAAAGTAACCTTCTTACAAGAATTGATAAAAATCCTCCACTCCACATCCCTCATGTAAAACAATTCATCCTCTCTACTAATTCTATCATGATGTAGAAATTCCAATTAATAGCAAACCCTAATAAAATTCTCCATCCCACTTATTCCCCACACTTCAATTTTCAAAAACCGATTAAAACCTTGAAATCGACATCACAATTCAATGCACGTATGATAAAAAAACATCACAAAAAAGAAAAACAACAAAACCAAAATTTTCACCACTAGCACCTAATAATAGGAAATATCAATCCTTGCAAGCATCACTTAAAACATTAACATCATGATCAAAGTTGAGCTTACCTAGCTATCCTATTGCTTGTTCCTATATGAGGAGATTCCTTCCATCTTAAATCTTTTCATAATCTCATTTTTACCAGAAATTGCTATAAGGTCGAGACTTTTTAAGAGCTTTAACACCTTCAAGGTTCGGCCCTAAATTTGTAGAGGTCTTGTAATTTTATAATAATTATAATATAAATAATTTTATTAAAAATATATAAAAATAAGATAATTAATAAAATATTTATATATTCTCTCATATCTAATAAATACATATTTTCTCTCACTTCCACATCCCTATTAATTGTCAATATTATTTATCTCATTTCCCATTAAAAGTCAAAGATAATTAATAAAATCTCGTATTCTCTCACTTCTCTTATTATGTGTCTAATAAATTTCAATTTTAAATGTTAACAATTCTTGTAAGTGTTGCATTAGGAAAAAGAAGTTTTTCAAAACTAAAATTAACAAAATCTTATTTAAGATCAACAATGTCTTAATAAACATTAAATATTAGCTATATTATCAATTGAAAAAGAAATATTAGAAAAAATTTGATTATAAAAATTTCATTAAAACTTTTGCATCTCAAAAAGCTAAAAGAATAAATTTTAATAAAATTTTTTCTTAATTTAATAAAAAAGGCCTCAATTGAATATTTTGCTTTAGACCTTTGAAGTTATTGAATAACCCCTATATACCTCATCTGTTTTATATATAATGAATTTATTTTTATTTTTGTTGTAACTACCTATCAGTGATTCATCTACTATTGCTATGGTTGCAATAGGATTATCCCCTAAATTCTTCTTCTATTTTCCCTTTCTTGCTTGTGCCTTTGAACTTCAAAATTTTTTCTTCACCCAATCGATTCTCAACTTCCCTTAGTAAACATGTTGCGAGTTTTGAGTTTTAGTTGGCTCTATGTTACTTAAAAGTTATCCTATTTAGTTTGGTTTGGGTCTACCTTTCTTTATTTTTTACCCATTTATCCAGTTCTTCGTAATTTTCTTTATAATTGATAATATAATCGTTCTTGCTTTCAAAACAAAAAAAAAAAAGAGATCTAAAAAAATCCATATATGTGAATGTAATTGTAAAACTCATATTTTTATATATTTTATCACACAATTTACATAAATTAAATTTGAAATTTATATATATATAGTTTTGAATTTGAGTTATGAAACACAACCAAATCTTTTCTTATAATGGTGGGAAACATACTTAATGTTATGGATCCCACATAGTAAAAGATGGATGAATCTTGGGTATATAAATATGGGTCTTCTACCACTTATCAGACATGTCTTTTAGGTTGAGAATATGGGCCCGTGACTTATAGGTTACTGAAGTTCTATTTCAGAGTTTAAGTCTGTATGAGATTGGGTTTAAGTTCTGGCTTGTGACAAGTGGTATTAAATCAGACCCAGATCTTCATTGTGTGGGATCTCTATAAAAGATATAAAAGTCGATTAGACCTGGATTAATGTAATAGTCCCTCTCATCTATAGTAAAAAAGCTAGTGCAACGGGAGCATTGTATAATTGAGTAGGGTAGAATGTCATGAATCCCATATCAGTAAAAGATGTGATGGATCTTGGATACATAAACATGGTCTTTTGACACCTATCAAATATGTCTTTTGGGTTGGAAACGTGGACCTGTGATTTATAGGCTTACTTAAACTTTATTTTCAAAGCTTAAGATTGCACGTGATTGGGTTTAAGTTCCGGCTCGTGACAAGTCTTTTGGGTTGGGAACATTCCCCGTAATTTATAAGCTTACTTAAGTTTTATTTTCAGAGTTTAAGACCACACGAGGTTGCGCTTAAGTTTCGACCTGTGACAAGTGGTATCAAAGCAGACCTAGATCTTCACTGATGTGGACCCCCATGAAAGATACAACGGTCGAGGTGAACTCGAATTAGTGTAAAAGTCTTTCTTTCCTACGGGTCAAGAGCTAGTGCAATGAGGGGGTTGTACAATTGGGTGGAGTAGAATGTCACGGATCTCACATCAGTAAAAGATGCATGGATATGGTATATAAATATGTGGACCCCCATGAAAGATACAAGGGTCGAGGTAGATCCGAACTAGTGTAAAAGTCTTTCTCTCTTACAAGTAAAGAGCTAGTGCAACAAAAGGGTTGCACAATTGGGTGGGGTAAAATGTCATAGATCTCATATCAGTAAGAGATGTTTTTTGGGTCTTCCACCACTTATCAGATATATTTTTTGGGTTGAAAATGTGGGCCCATGATTTATAGGCTTACTTAAGCTCTATTTTCAGAACTTAAGGCCGCACGGGATTAAGCTTATGTTTCGACCTGACACTTGAGCTAAGCCTAGATGCCATTTAATTATTTCATTTATTAAATTTGACTTGGTCTTTTTCTTTTTTGGTTAAATTATGTAATTAGTCCTTGTGCTCTATAAAAAATATGGATTTAGTTTCTTTACAATATTTTGTGTAAATTGGGTCCTTATACTTTTTCAATTTGTTAATTTCAATTTCTAACTTTAAGACCGTTAAATTTTCACAATTCATTATGTTGACTTGGCATTTGACTAAACTTATGTGACATTTATTGTTGATGTGGCATTGACAATATGTTTATGTGATAATGACTATGCTGACATGGTAGTTGTCACGTGACATATAAAAACTTATGTTTTTGTATGTTATCTTTGTCAGAAAGAGGTTTCCTTTCGCCACATTACTTCAAAAATCATGAAAGGGAAGCGCATCAGTTATCCTTATAAAAGCCATTCCAATAAGCAAGAAAAATGGAGCAAAACTTGCAATGAATTGCCTGAAGGACACCAAAGGCTATAAAGGATTGGATAAATCAATCAACTAAGGTTTTTTGGCAATATATCCAATGTGTGTGCTAGTGTTGCTTTCTGAGTCAGTGATTGGTTCTATTTTGACCATACCTTCCGCTAAAGATTGGTGGAAGGGTTATTATTATTATTTTTTTTTGGAAATTGGTGGAAGGGTTATGTTAGTTTGAAGCTAAAGATGCTCTAAACTCCAAGCCTGTGGGTATGGCCCTGATTTCTTGTTGCCAACAGAAGGTGTGAATATGGCTCTCATAGGCAATCGGTTCTGTGTGAAGGTTTTTAACAGCTATCTTGGCTTTTTTGTTGTTACTGGCGTTGGGCTGTCTCTCCTCTTGCTGGGAGGTTTCTGTATAGATTCCTATATTTACAATGAAATTACTTTAGTTGAAAAAAAAAAAGACAGAAAGGGAGAATATGTTTATTAATCTTTGTACCATTTCATCAGCCTATTTATAACATTTATTTTTTATTTAGA